ATGGCTTCGAATGTTAGCCAATAAACTATGAACATAAAATTGTCGTTGTTCCTGTTGCTGTTGCTATTGCTATTGCCATTGCTATGTCGTAGTCGTGTGGACAAAGAGCAATTTCGTAACGAATTTGTCAATTTATCGAAGTGGCAATAGCATTTACTCGCCACAAACAACAATGTTGCAAACAACACCCTGAAAAGTTCAGGCATTCCAACATTTATGTGTGTGTCGCCAAAAGGGGTATGCTTAATGTGTCAGTGGGCCCCGGCCCAGCTTGCGGCTTGTGACCGGGCCAATTCTGGGCAGGTAGCTGGTGGTGATGGCAGTTAGCCTGCTTGCTTGTTGACACGTTTAGTTGTCGGCTCACACACAAACTCAAACACACACATGCATGTATACGTGATGTATACGTATGTTTTTGTAAACATGTATGCAGCCTCGCTCGCTCAGATATACCTTAGATATGTATATGTGGATACCGTGGTGTATATTTGGCAAATCACTAACAAGTCAAAGGTAGAGCGAGCATTGTAATAAAGCTGATGGTAAATTGGAGGCAACTACTTGCTAGATGCTGCCACAGACATCACACAGGCAGGAGGAGGCTAGCGAGCAGGCGCAAAATGGGGTAAGCCTTGAATAAATGTAAATTCGATAGCCATTTGTAAATTGATATGGGCATCATGAAATGCCTTTAACTAAATGTCGACAGACAACATTAAAACCTGACACCGACCAAAAATGTATGGTAATATTATTATGCATGTATTCGGGTTGGATTGTCAGCAGCTATCTGGTCATTTGTATGCATTATTCTTGACCAACTGCTTTGTCTTCATTAATTCAATTTACAATTAATTGTGAACCATGCACAATTTCAATAATTGCAAATGTCAGCCAACTTATTGATTTACTCTATGAATTTGAGCGGGGGACAGCTTGGATTAAAGCATAACCATTTGCCAATTAGCATTTGCATCAAGAAATGCCTTCAGCAAAATAACAGCCAGACTCAAACAAAACAAAATTGGTATCATACATTCGGGTTGAAAATCAGGCCAAAATGCATATTTGAAAATTAATAGTAAACATATTTTAAAAATAGTTTATTAAACTAATAAGCATAGTCCGAGTTTGCTGCTTATTTCGCAAATAAAAGCAATGCTTTGCATTTGGATTTTAATTAAATTATTTTCGATGAAATAATACGTCGTTATTAAATACGGGAATTACCAGCGTGCTTTCTCAGATTTCTCATCAGGTTTTGTTTTCATTCATTTAAAATCATTTATTTGTTGCCTCCATAACTCGCTTTTTCTTTACTTTTATTTGTATTTCAACTCTAAACTAATATAGTTAGTATTATCTTAAAGCTAACTGAACAAATTATCTTGTGCTTATTATGAGACTCATCCAGTGGTCTGCCAATAAAAGATGTACGATTTTATTATTACAGTTTGCTGGTCAAACGATTACACAAATATTTCGAGTGCATCTCAGTAGTAAAGTCGAGAAATGTAAAGATTGCCCTCAGAGTGCTAGTGAATTCGTGTTATACAGCAATAATTACGTATTTGTAACCTCATTAGTTATTTACAGCGTTGCTTGAGGGACTCTGCAGCATTTGCATAAACTGACTGCCAAATCAGAGGTGTAGGGAAACTTAAATGCGGCAATGACGTCTACGACTGCTGCTGTAATCATTTACCTGCTGATGTAAGTTGTTGTAGTAGCGGATGATGTGCGGAGGCAGCTGTTCCGCCGTCTCCAGTCCGATCCACTGGAAGATACTGAACTGTGGCGCCGATGTTGTAGTTGTTGTTGTCGTTGTTAAGGATGTGCTGTCGCAGCAACAACAAAAGTCCTCCTCCTCATCAACGGCTTCGTCCGCCATTCAAAACTTGTATGCTAATTTCAGTTGCTTTGGTCGATATTGGCCCTTCGTTTTATAATTTGTTCACTTCTTTATTTTATTTTTGTTTTTTTGTTGTTGTTGTGGCACACATTTGAATTTAAATTGAGTTATAACGGCGCAGTTGATGCTGCAGCACTTTGTTGTGCTGCCAATTTATGAGCAGCGCGACAGCACAGCACCAGTTCCAGCAACAGCGACAGCACCAACCCGAGACACAGTCCCAGCCCCACATGGTGGGGCTCGGGGGTGCGGCGTCGCCAATGACAGCGGTTGCCCTTTTGTCAATTGCTCCCATGTGGGCTTTACCGCCAAACACGTGCCTGTAAACTTGGCTACAACTGTGGCGATGTCTGTGGCTCTGGCTGTGACGGCTTGGAGCTCCTGTTCGCTGGAGGTTACTGCGGAAATTCGCGCGTAATTGGCACACTGACACGGCACTACACACTCCAGAGGAAACTTCGCGTTCACGTTCGCGTTCGCATCTGTATCCACATCCACATCAACATCCACATTCGCGTCCGCGTCCGCGTCCGCCTCCTGTTAATTGGGTCAAGCGAACGCGGGTTGTGCGGAGCGCGTCAGAGTGAGTCACTTGAGAAATAGACTCGAGTAAACTTAACTCGACTTGACGAAGGTCTCACAATACACAAACACACACACATACACTGATACTCGCATACACTCACACACACACACACACACCCACTACCTATTCCCCGAGCTTTGTTTAGCCAACAGCTAACCCTTTTATGGATGAGGGGCAGTTGGCAAATGGGGGCGACCTGAAGGCGTGGGCCGATGTCGCGAAATCGCTCGTTAGGCGCCTCTTTCACACATCACTTGGCAAGTGTCAAATAAATCCAACTGGAGGCTGCGACGTTGTCGTCGTTCCCTCGCGGCGACTGCGCCGCAAACTAAACTCAAATTTGTGCGCGCTTTTTTGTTTAAGTCAATCACGAATGCTCGGTTAGTTTATACAACGCAGACACTCACGCAAAATGCACGTATATATGAATGTGCACATGTACGCTGTGTGTGTGTTAGTATATGCATTTGCAATGCCTCTGCAACCAGCACCAGCAGCAGCAGCAGCAGCGTATTGCGCTCGCTGCACTTTGCAGCGCAAACGGTGAAAGAGAATGCAGAGCGTGAATGGGAGAGATGAGATTTGCAGCGGAATGATGTTTGGACTGCGGCCGAGGTCCTTAAAAAACATAGTTGTTGTTCTTACCTACCTAGCCTACCCAACACCTCACACCCCACACCCAACACCCTCTACACTCAACACCCAGCAGCATCCAATCTGCTCTCTGGCTGATTGTGGATGTTGTATATAGCATTAACACATTCGCTCATTGCTTGCTGAGCCTGCGTTTTGTGCAGTTGTTCAGTTGTTCATATCGTCTGTCATATTTATCCATCTACTATTCCGCCTTTGCCACTTCTTCTGTTTCTCCTTCTTCTTTGTTTTGTTGCTTTTTCTTTTTTCTTTTTTTTTTTTGTTTCCATGAATTTATGAAAATGAGTCGCTGGCACACGAGCACAGCTTGCGTCACACACAAAGCGGCAGACAGAAAGCTGGACTGCCGGACATATTGTCCGGCAGAAAGGCAGTGGATTATATGAGTGGTGTGCTAGACTGAAATATACCCTGTGATGACAATGTAACAATTTTAATTTTAATAATCCAACGTGTTTTTTTAAAAGTCAAACACTCTACTCAATTTCATATGTGGACTTGTCTACAGGATTAGCTTATTCAAAGTTAAATAAAGACTTAAAGCGAACACATTCCATAGTTCTTTGTATTATTTAAACTTTCAATTATTTTCTATATTTTTGTTTTTGTTTTTGATTACAATCAGAATCTGTCAAGAAAATAATAAGCACCCCTCAATGTGTACAATATATATATATAAGATGGCTTTTGTAATAATTGTTATTTGAATCGATATACAAATGGGAAAATATATATATAAAGCTCTGTTGGAGTGCTTATCCTTGCACTCTGTAATATGTACAGGGTATCCAAAAAATATGAAGCACAGCCGCCCAGCTGCAAAAAGTGTAGTCTGTTTCAAGGAGCAATTAACGACAGTGGATGGCACAGAGTTATAGCGTTCATATCGCATACAGGCAGGCTCAGAGAATACCAACGAGAATGGAAAAAAGCTTTACATCGATATACGCTGCCTGCAAGCAGGTCCATTAAATAGTAAATAGAGTAAATGCCATTTAACGCAACTAACTCAATAAATAAAACAAAATAAGTCATAGGAAATGTATAATTCCACATCATTCCGTACATATTAAATCGAAATAGTTTTATTCGTACAGGTATATTTAACATCCATGCTTATATGCAGTAAATAAATAGACAACTTGTTCTAACGCAACCATAGAAAAGTGTGTTTAGTCGTCGTTGTGATGTAACAGCCGAGCTTTGTTATTTTGTTTCGCAATCGTTAAATGTTTTTCTGTTGGTCTGTTGCAAATGTGTGGCACACTCCGCCGCCGACGACAGAGTCGGCAATTGAGCTGTGTAGCATACTTTTCTGCGCAAAAAGCCTTCAGGGAGAAGCCACAGGGACTGGCACTGCCTGTTGTGGCAGCAGCAGCAGCACCAGCAGCAGCAAAGTCCGAATTTAATTTAGGTTTATTTTGATTAAATTGTTTGTATTTTGGTTGCATTAGCAGGCGCAGTCTGTTTGTACACGTACAGTGTATAGAATGTAGCAATGAGTGGTGTGTATGTGTGTGGCACTGTTTGAGCAAAGGATTAGTGAGCGCTCTGCGGGAGTTGACATAGTAGCACACAGTACTCTAGTTTTGGTGGCGGTGGTGGTTTCCCCCTGTATGCAATTTCTAGTTTGTTGGCACAAAATACATTTCAAATTTGTTTTGGCTTATACTAAACCGAAATGCTGAGTGGACCACAGATTGATATGACCACATGGCCAGTTGCTGGCAGGCAACACAGTAGGCAATCATGTGCTTGAGCCGACAGTTTGCCCCAAAATATAGCCACAAATATACAACATATGTATGCATATACACAAAGTATTTGACAAATTAAAAGTGGGCTCACCTGTAAGTGGGGAGCGGCGAGTAGCTGCATCAGCTCATCCTTGGCATACTTATTGCCAACAGCGACGCCAACCGATGACAATTGCTCCAGGACATCGCGACTGCGCGCCACAGCCTCGGCGCTGGGCGCCCGGCCATTGGTCGTGATTATCGAGGAGCCAATGCGATCGAAAAGCTGCAGAAACTGTTGCAAGCGACCATCGCGCAACATATCTCGCAGCACATCCGCATCGACGTGTGCATCCTGCAGTGAGTAAATATCATCCAGGCAATCCAATATGCGCTGCACCGCCTCGATACCCGCCTCCTCGTCGGCCCACTCGTCCGGTGCACCTGCAATCGGCACTACAAAGTTGATTATCAATAAAGCAGTTGATTCGGCATTCATCCGGGCATTCATCCACTTACTGTCCGCATCGGTGACATAGAGCGGATCCATGTTGGTACCGCCAGCAATGGCCTGCACTGCTCCCTTGAGTTTGCGTCGTGCATTGTAGCGCTTCAATTCCTCAACGGTATCCGCCAAATGTGTGCGCTGCAATTTGTCGCGATCCCTAATCCAGGGATGATCTAGCACCTCAGCTATCGATAATCTATGATGGGGATTGGCTGCCAGCATTTTCATGACTAGATCCTTAGCATTGGCCGAAATGGATTTCCATTCAGGCGCCTCAAACTGAAAAAAAAACATGTACAGCAATTAAATATGCAAATCGCATTACATCATTAGGTTTATAGATAATTACCGATAGGCGTCCCCGTGCTATTGATTGCTGTAATCGCACCCCGGATCCTAGAAAAGGTAGCCTTCCCGACAGCAGAACGTGCAACATTACACCAGCTCCCCAAACGTCACAGCCCTTGCCATATAGACGCCGGGTGACCACCTCTGGTGCCATATAGTGCGGACAGCCCACTCGGCCGTGTGTTTCAATGGTTTCGCGCGTACCTGGCAATTGTATCGCCGATCCAAATCCACCCAGCTTCACTGGCGCCGAGTTGTCAATTGTCGCCAGAAGCGCACACGCTGGTCGCACATCTCTGTGCAGGATGTCGTTTTCATGGCAGTAACGCAGGGCCTCCAATATCTGGCGCATATAGTGGCTGTTGGCAATAACAACACAACGATTAATCTTATTATACTCTTCTCAATTCGACACTTATTACTGCTAGTATTTCTAACTTACAAAGTTTAAATTCGAGTTGAAAATTACAATCGTTGGAATAGTTAATTAAACAGCAGACAATTTAAGAATCCAAACCAACATTTCTGTTTCAATAATTTGTGAAATGTCTAAACATTTTACAAAATCGTATTCTTTAAAGCTTAAACAATCGCTATCTGATCAACAGAATAACATTTTAACAAAACCATTTTCATAGGTAGTATTTAATTATATTAAAATATGCAGCGCTAAACGTACAAAATTATAATTGGTATCTGCTCTGTTCTCTGCATTTACAGCCATCATTCAAAAAATATGTTTAACTATTCATTTACAGAGTTCATTCAAATTGTTTTTTTAACTCTTCATTTACTGCCTTCATTTGGGAGCTCATTTTATGTTGGCTCTTGGGTAAAAACAGGTGTTGGAATACAATAATTATGGGCTGTTTATTCATGCTCACCAAGCCACCGCCTCGCTGTAGACAAAACCTGCGACGGCACGACGCACAACCTCAAAGCACAAGTCGGAGCCTTCCATGCTGCAAGCAAAGCGAAAGGAATTATTTAAGTGGCCTACATTCAAATGGTGTTTGGGTATTTGGGTGTGCCTGTGCCTGTCTGTGTGTGTTTGTGTGCGTGTGATTTACTTACAATTCAAAGACCATGTAGAGCATGCCCTCGGAACTGTAGGTTTCCAGTAGCTCGACTATGTGCGGATGCTTCAGCATGTGACATATTGTGGCTTCACGTTTCAGATCTGTAATGGCGTGCAATTAGTTGATATTAGAATGAGTTACATTTGTATGGCCGCCCAAAAGGCCACCACTTCCACTCCACACTCCCAAAACACGCAGCGCCCATGTCTAACACCAGCTGGCCGTGAGCTCTAATGGATTTTGGGGCTGACTTATGTGCCAGCCATGTATCATTTAGTCAATATCCAAAGTCCGGACGCTATTGCGTTTGAGCAATTCATTTTTAATTGGCCAATGGAGGGAGTTACGACTTGAGCCTCGACTCTCCTACAGCCTTCTACCGGCTTTGTCCTTATCCATGTCCTTATCCAGTGCTGTCGTGTTTTGGGAACGAACAAGGGAACGGCACGTGCTAAATATGCTCCGTTGTTACCGCTCAATTAGGAACAACAAATTTTGTATAATTTGCGCAGCTTAATTATAATTTATTCACTCAAAGTACTTCGGTTGCCACCGCTTTGGGGCAAGGTCGACGTGGCAACTTACCCGCTGTGCTCAGTCCTGGGCTCGCCGTAAACTTGGCCACATCAACAATTTTGACAGCAAATTGCTGATTGGACTCTCTATGTATGCAGCGGCGCACAATGGAGAATGGTCCTCTGCAATATATAAAATAAATATGTACACACTCACATACATGTATATCAAATATTTAGTAAAAGTTTTCAACTGATTTCATGCGTTCAAATGTCCTTGCTGACCTTATCGGGCTAACTTGCTGACTTACTGAGCACGCCAAAACTAGTCAAATTGTGTTGCAAACTCAAAACTAGTTAGATCAGCAGCTAACCCACTGCCACATTAATATTAATGCGTAATGTAAAAGGTGACTTCACAACTTGTTGGCCAACTTTTGTGCATGCTGGCCATTGGGTCACGTTAGTACAGTGATCACTCACAAATTGCCAATTTCCCAAAAATAATGCATTTCGGAAAGTTTCGCGGCAAGGTCACGCATTATGCTGATGCCAACTTCGTGAAGTTCGCCATTTGTGAGCGATTACTGTACTGAAAGCAATACGTGCGTCGACAGATGATTTAGGGCGTCAGGCCTAATGAGATATGACAGCAAGTAAGAAAAATATAGAGGAAAGGAACTTACTTGCCAATGACCTCGCAGAGTTCGTAAACATCGTCAAAGAGAATTTCGTCTTCGGTCATTTTGAATAATTGATGAATTAATGCCTCGTCCGACTGTCTCAATTGCTTTTTGGAATATTGATGAGCTGCACCAGGCTGATACTGGCTGCTGCTGCTGCTGATGCTGGGCAGAAACACCAGTTGGTACTTTGCGTCCGTCCCACCTCCAAAGACTTGAATGAACTTTAGTCTTTTAGCGGTCCGTTGATCTATGTTGTTGTTCTTATTGTTGCTCTTCTATTTATGTTTGTTGTTTCGTTGTAATTGATTGCGTTGTTGTTGGTGTTGGTGTTGCTGTTGCTGCTGCTGCTGTTGATGCTGCTGTTTTTGCAGTTGGCGTTAAAGATTCATGTCGCATGTAACTGAAAAATTACACAAAAAACTTTTTAATGTAATAAGCAAGTGGGCGCAAATAGCCAAAAAAATAAATCCAAATAAAAAAACGGAAATCGAAAAAGGCATTCGTTATCACAAGAGTCCTGTCGGGGTCCGTTCGGCCTGCTTCTTCTATGATGCGTCAATCACAGGTGGCCAATCGGGCCAAAGAACCCAAATCAATTACTGGAGCCAGCCACAAATTTGCAATGGGATTGAATCGAAAAGGAAGTTTCACCGTCAGCTGGCTGAACAACACGCAACCGAACGAGACAATTTGAATTTTTCAACACAAAAATGGTTTCCTGTGGTCGCTCCCAAAAAAAAAAAAGGTAAAAGGTAAACAAGGCACTCCACCAGTTGTGCAAGAAAGGCGCCTGATAAACAACAATAGCTGCTGCTATTCAAGTTTCACTCTTTGTGAAGCGTTTAATAGTTGTATTTTTATTTTGGGGAACCGCACTAGAAGCACATACTTCAAGTCGAAACACACTTTTTTGATGGCACTCCAAACTGGGAGAGCGCATGGGAGCGAGAGAGATGGAGAAAGGGAGAGAGAGAGAGAGAAGCGCAGGCGCAAAACGAAGTTCGTGTAAAAATCCCAATTGGCGAACGTAAAGGCAAAAAAAATGCAAGCAATGGCAGAAATGCTCACAATGCTCACTGGGACTGGATATCCGGGCCTTGCACCTGCACACCTACAATTTGTATTTGTGAAAATGCAACAATTTGGAATGCACACACACACGCATACACATACACACATAGCGAAGGGGCGGCACTCGAGTGTAGCAAGGATCAGGCAAGGCAAGGACATTTATCATATTTAATGCAGAGCGCACATTGGGCGCGGTATGGCTCGGGGCTTTAGGGCTCGGTCTCCAAGACTCAATTTCGGGCGAAGGCTTTTACCTTGTTCGTGTGCCTCTGACTGTCTGACTGACTAACTGCCGCTGTTCTGAAATTCCTTGACACTTTCAACTTGCCACACACACACCCGCACTCACACACACACACACGCACACACCCGCACTCGCACACACATACGTGGACACTTTTTGCTTTTCACATGTAAAACGACAAGTGACAATTAAGAAATTGATTCTTTGTCTAGTATTTTTACAAAGGATTTACATTGCTCAAACGCTGCCTACACAGACCCAATGCCTCCCACAAGGGACAGGCATACCGACACACACCGACACACACTCACACACACTCACACACCCCACACACACCCACACTCATTCACTTAAAATCTCTCACTCACACCCACACACACACACACATTTGGTGTTTTTTTTTTATGTACAAACCCTGTCGAAATCTCAGCACCGCACAACCGAATTTTTGCACAGAATTTTAGATTTTGGGTGGAGACATGTCCACGTTTTCAGTGTCACTGCCTCTAATTAGCTCACTCTATTGTTGCGCTCATTCGTTTTATATTGTAATTGATTTAATATTGCTATTTATTCAATTATTTTAACTTAAAACAAACACGGCCCGTGAATTGATTGGCAAAGACCTGCTAACAAGTGAACCGGTTCGCTGAGAAAAGAACCAGTTGAATTATTGCGAACGTTTTGCTTCTGTTAAGTGGCAACGCCACACTAGTGCTGTCACATCGTTGTAATTCGTTCGCTCAAATGTAAACAAAGGACTGATTCTAACGAACTGGCAGCGCTTCCAATTTGAAGACTATTACAAAAATTCCCATTCAATTTAATTCTCATAGGTTTTGGGTATGGATGTGATAGCACCATCTTTCGAAGTGGAGAGAAGAGCACTCCACGCCACCTGGCGGTCATGACTAGAGAGTCGAGATTTGGAAGAGAAAAGAAAGTCGCTAAGAGAGAGGAGGGTCTGAAAGGTAATGCGACCGAAAAAAAAGAAAAAATAAGAAAAACGAGGAAGAGGAAGAGAAAGGGGCCCGCATAGGCAGACGAAAATAGTAAACTTTTAACCACGCAGACAACACAATAGGGAGCAGACTATGCTGATCGAGATCGTTGTTTTTTGGTTTAAAAAAATAAATACAATTTATTGTTGACTTGCCGCCCAATTTATCGGGGTCTATCCCCACCTGAGGCGATAGCTAACCGGCAGGGCGATATATTGGTGCCGCCGATAGGCAAGGTATATCAAATTAAGCAAACTTTTGGTGAAGATTTCAAAGTGCTAATTATATTTGTATATAAAAAGTAAAGTAGTAGTTGAATAAATATATAAAAATATGTTTTACATATAAATAAACAAAATCCAGTATACAAATCAGGTGAATTGAGAAACTGTCAGCTGATCAGAAATACAGATGTAGTTTAACAGTTGGAAATAAACAGTCAGTGGGCATCCATGTAAGTTGCTGTTAGTTAACATAGGTTCAAATGAACAACATTTATCTCGAAAAAAAATACTAAATACATTTTTGGTATAGTTAGCTCGTACAATTTGGTGCGTTACTTCTGCTGGTTATTTAAAATGGGCCGTTATAAAAATAAACACACTAATCTGAAGAAATAAAAGTATTTAAAGCATTTTTTTTTTATATAGGGACATATCAGTATTCAAACGGCCTAAGACAACCCCTAAATTGGTAATTCGATTAATTGTTCAGTTGTTTTGCTTAATTTTTTGAATAACCAATATTTCAGTTAACTTTGTTATAAATTCTTGAAACTATGTATACATCAAAAGTATCAAATGATTAGTTTTAACGAATATTTAACGCAGCTTAAGAAACTATATTTAGTACTTGAATACTTGTTTCGAAAAACTTTATAAGTACAAATTGTCAGCAACTGCAATAAGTTTGGGCATCTCTCTATAAAAATATAGATGTTCGTTACACCAATTACACATATATCACTATATGTATATTTGTATGTGTATCTACGCATACATAATATAATAAAATAAGTAATGCATAATATTATAAAAATAGTTTTTCTGCGTATTTTGTATATTATTACCATAAATAACATTTGATAAGCCCATTAGAAATTATTAAGACTTCAGAATTAATATGCCAGTCACAGGCAAGCAACTCTCCGAAAACCCACTCGCACAATAGGTGCGTAATCTTTAAATCAACTGCGTCTACAAAACGAGGAGCCGAGGAGCCGCAAGGGAACCCAAAAACATAAACATCATCAATTACACAGTCCTCGAACGGCAACAGCAACAACAACCACAACAGCAACAAGTCGAGAATCGTAGGTCGCAGTGCAGTTGTTGTTGTTGATGTTGCTGTTATTGTTTTTCCTCTTCTTGCTGCGTTGGTTGACAAAAGAAAAAGGCGAAGGCGAAGGCGAAGGCAGAGGCAAATCCAAAAGGCCCATGCATATCCCAAGTCGCAGCCACTCAGGTGAAATCAAAATCAAATTCAACGCCAACGAATCGTCGCCGTTTTTTGCCTCGGCTCACAACTTCGTCGCCCCTCGCCCATCGGCTCGTGCGTTCGTTGTCGTCATCATTATTTGGACGCGTCGCGACTCGCGACTGTCGCGCTTAATGCGTGTGGATTGGACATGGACGTAAACGTGAACGTGTAGGATTCGAATTGACATTATAAAAACTGGTTTGCTGCCAATATATATACACACACATACATATATATAAATAAATATGTATGGGCACACACACATACAAACATATGTGCATATATATTGCCGGTTGGGCGTCCTACGCAGCGGCGACTGCGACGGCGACTGAGACTGCACCTCTGCCATTTACCAACGTACGTGTACCTGCCCACTTGACAACGACTCTTGTTGTAGTTGTTGCTGTTGTTGTTATTGCTGAGTCTAGGATATTACTATTACCTGCAACTAGGTGCTGTCGGGCAGCAAACAAACCAAAAAATCAAAAACAAAATCGAAGCGCGCCAAAACGTGAAAAGCAACTGCAGTTGCTACTTGTTGTTGTTGTTGTTATTGTTGTTTTGTTTGTGGTTGCTGCTGATGTAATAATAATAACCACAATACTATTTACAGTACATACATGCAGTAATTTAGTTACTTAATGCATTCCTACTGTGCTTAAGTTTAAGTACTGTAATTACATTCACATACAAGCTTATTAGCTTACTATTACTATTTGATATTTTCTCTTCGTTTGTACATATATTACAAAGTATTAAAGACATTTACGACTGTTTACAGTGTTCGCTAATATATTAATTCCATTTCAGAGGCTTGTCTTTTAATAGCCCATTATATTTGATAAAAAACGCGTCATTTTCTTTTACAACTTTTGTAATTTTTAATGGAAATCTTAATGGAAATATTTATGGCGACAGTTATATAAGAAAACAAACCGTTTTGAAACGTGTACATAATAAACTGAGTAAAGCTAAAAATAATAGACTTTGAACATTAAATTAAAGTGCTTTTAGCTTTCTTCTGTGTGATGTTGCCCTTTTTTCAACTACTTATCCCATATATTCCAATCCATATACATTTCCCATCATTTTCCATGCCACAACGCGGAACGCATCCTATGAGAGCAATATGTATATTATGAAACCAACCAAAACGACATGTATAAAATAATAATAATAATCAAGAAATATTAACAACTGGGACAAAGAGACGGACATTGAAGTATTGACTTGACAGCTGATGCTAATCAGTAATATATACATATATATATGTACATCTACTACAATTCATTAAAAACATCAATACAGAATAATAATACCCTCTACAAGGCAATTACAATTATTTGAATACATATTAAGTATACATTTTACATACAATTAAGCTTAAAAAAAGAATATGATATTAATTATTAAACGGTTGGTTTACATTTAAAAAGTTATATTTTGCACAATGTTAAAAAAAACAGAGTTTTTAAAGGTCAGTTACTGATGAATG